TACTTTGTGGCGTTAAAAAGATACTATTGGGGCAGGCGGGGTTATTGTTCTTCCACAACGGATGGAGCTGCCCCTCTTAACTATATTCTCTCGCTTTGCGGACCTGCGGCTTGCCTCGGGGCTACCCTACCCCGGGCTACGAGTTGTTGGCCATGGAGGTGACGCTGGAGGGCAGCTGCACGCCGCCGGACTGGATGCTGGCCGCCGCGCCGCGCGCCGCCTCCACCTTGTCCTTCAGGTCGGCCACCTGCGCGGGCACACGACATGGCAAGAATGGTTTAGCTTTTGCCTCGAGTCTGGGTGAATTACTAGTATTATCGTAGTTAGGATGCAATACTCATGCCGCGAATCATGCCGACTAAACAAAGTGTGTGCAGAAACGTGAAACGGATTCCATACTCTCGTAAAGTACTTGATTGCCAAAACGCGCAAAGAATGAAAACTCATCGCAAAACTTGACAAACAACAGCAAAAGAAAACGGTGCCCAACCATTCTTAGATATTGTGTGTGTGTGTGTGTGCCCACGCAGGAAACGCCACTCCTACTTTCGTACGTACCCGCTCCGTTATGTGCTGCTGCGCCATTTCCCGGGCCGATTTTGCCATGTCGCGAGCTTTCTCCGCCAGATCTTGCGGGTTCGGCAGCTGCGGCGAGCGCGACACCTGTAATCGGCAATTCAAAAGAACACAAACGCAGGCGAAGTGCGAACCGGTATACGGCCAACACCAAGATAGTCACGTACTCGGCGCAGCTTTTCCAGCAGCAGACCGTCTGTGTTCTGATGAGAGCTATCAGAGCTACTCGAGCACAGGGCCTGTCGAGAGATGAAAAATTTAGTTGCATTTCCAACTTGGAGCAAGAATTTATTGACAAATGTTGCTCCCCAAATGCGCTTCTTGAGGTGCACCCACCACGGACGCGATAGCGAGCAGCAGGGCCGCGCAGGCCGCCATCCTCGTCGCCGTGGTCGCCATGTCACCGGGAGCTCTCGTACTGCGGCTCACTCGCGGTCAGGTCGGCGGCGCAGGCGGGCGCAGGCGAGTCACAGCGCCAGGCGCACCGGAAGCACTTGATGGACTGATCGGCACGCAAGCCAAGCGCTGGCGGCTCGTCATTCTTATTTTTATATTTCACCACTCCTCTGATGCACACTGAAATTCTAATAATTGTTCCTCTATGCCTGTTGCGATTGCATTTGAAGACCCGGTAGGGGGTAGCAGAAAGTATCATTACTGCAGGGCAACTCACTTGATTGTCGCCATTTTAGACTAACAGAAATTTGTCGTTAATGTATTTCTTTGATTGTTAACTCCCCGATCGCATGTCCAGGTCAGTTTGGTTCCAAAAGCCAGCGGCTTTTCCCTGGGGTGGGGTGGTAGGCGCTTTAAATGTCACTGGTCACTATGCTTGCTCCGACCTGCCCACGATCGGACCGTGTGCGAGGTCAATGGCAGGTCCGATGCGATGCCGTGCGATGCGCACATGATCGTCCCGGGCACGTCCTGTGCGGTGTTCCTCCGGCTCGGCTCGGCTCGGCTCGGACACGCCATTGCACGACACAAAGGTGGCGCCGCGAGGTTGCACGAGGTGTTTGCAAAAACCGTAACGGGGTGTTTACGACCGCCTCCGGCTCGGCAGATGCCACCCGCCGCGCCGCCGTGAAGAAGCACGAGAGCCGTTAAAGGGCGGGAAAAGTTAAAGCAGGAACAAAGAGATAACCGTTTTGGCGTGTATTTCACAAACGCGTTTGTCGCAAAGCGAACAAGAATAACATCAACTAAAGTGTATTCCAGTTTATCAAGTCGATTCGATCCCGCGTCGGCTCAGCCGAAATAGGTAACTTACATCGTCGCTTGCGGTGTGCGAGGTTGACGTCCTCTGCGCTTGCGTCACGCCTTGCGTCGTGCTCAGTCGGCCGACTTCAAGTACTTGTCGACGACGTTCTCGTAGAACCAGGGCCAGCTGAAGCGCAAGTGGTCGCAGTCCACGGACAGCCGCACCAGCCGGCCGGTCTCGTCCAGCGCCCTCAGCCCTATCCAGTCCTGCGCGGCGCAAGGGCAGGGAGGGTGAGACCATAGCCGTTAGATCACGTCGGGTCAGGCGCGCGGTAAAAAGTGACTGCCTGGTGCCTGGTTGCCAAGCGCCAATGTGGTACTTTTCAAGCAAAAAGTGCTTGGAAACCAATCACTATTGCTTGGAAACCTTAAGTCACTTTTACCTTTACCGTACGGTTGTGGTGTCCGCGAGTACCCACCTCTTGGTACAGCGCACTGCTCTCGAGGGGCACGATCTCCTTCGAGTCGGGCGCGTAGAACTCGAACCACTGCGACTCGACGGGCACCACCATGGTGTCGAGGTTGAAGCGCACCAGGACGAGCGCCTCCAGCTTGGCCAGGTTGTCGGCGTAGGTGCGGTTGCGCTGGCTGGGATCCGCCAGGTCGTTGTTGATGTCAGACAGGAAAGTACTTCCCCGGCGATAGCGGTCCGGGCGGTGGCCGTCGTGCCAGTACTGAGCTTGAGTCAGCCCGTGTTGCACCCACCTGACACGCAAAACAATGACAAACTGGATGAGTTTGATTTTGGGCGGCGACTCTTCGGAAGTTTGAAAATAAAAATAATTTTCAGCAGCTGGCGTACGTGCATGGGCCCTTGCGTGAGACTCCCACTTGGGAAAAGGGGAG